AGGTACGCACGGCTGGTGCACGGGCCCGTCCCCAGCCCCACCCGAGCACCTAGTGCACAGGCCGGCAGGGGAGGCCGCTTTCCTCAGCACATGTGCACAGCCTGCCCCACAGGTCACACGAGCCCCCGAGGTTGGGGGAAAACTCAATGATACTTATTGTCAATTTTAACCCTGAGTCCCCTGCCAAGGGAACCGCTCAGCAGCCAGCCCCATGGTCTGGCCCAGTGTCTCCCAGTCTTTCCGCCATGGCCTATCCACAGGCCGGCAGGGGAGGCCGCTTTCCTCAGCACATGTGCACAGCCTGCCCCACAGGTCACACGAGCCCCCGAGGTTGGGGGAAAACTCAATGATACTTATTGTCAATTTTAACCCTGAGTCCCCTGCCAAGGGAACCGCTCAGCAGCCAGCCCCATGGTCTGGCCCAGTGTCTCCCAGTCTTTCCGCCATGGCCTATCCTGGCCACAGCTGGAGCTGAGAAGCTGCAGGGCAGGGAGCGGAGGCCCTCGGGATCCAGCCCTGCCCCTGCCAGGGCCCCGAGGCGTCTCACCTGCGGGAGGCTTGAAGGCTTCGTAGAACTGGCTCAGGTAGGTGACGAGGCCGAGCTGGTTGGGCTCGGACACGGAGGCCATTTCGGGGCTGGAGAGGACGGGCGGGATGCCGAGCTCCTGCTCCGCTACGTCCAAGGCCAGCTGGTTATTCCCGATGGGACTGTGCTGGTCCAGGGCTTCGAAATCTCTAGGGACAGGAACGGGCTGTTAGGGAGGCCGAGCAGGGGTCCAGAGCTCGGCCTGGCTCAGCCGAGCGGGAGGGGAAACCGGTGACAGCGCATCAGACTCAGGAGCTAGCCTGGCTTAGATCCCCCCCACTCATCCGGCGAAGGACCACGCTAAGCGCACGAGAGCCAGGCAGCTGCATACAGCCCCCCGCCCGGTGCCTGGTGGCAAAGCTGCAGCAGGGGCAGGAGAAATACCCTCAGCATTGGGCAGCACCGGGGGGTCACACACGGCAACATTCAGCAACGCTGGCAGGGGGAGAAATAACTGGAGTCCGGGGGGTGCACGGTGGGGTAAAAGCAGGCACCATCCATCCCAACACAAAACACACATCACCCCCAACCAGCCCCTCGGAACTACCAGCCGCAGCCACCCGCCCGCTCTGCAGGGACACGCGTGTCCCCAGCTCCCTGAGGGGCACTGGGAGCCTTACAGGAGGTCGGGCCGGAAGCGGTGGATGAGGGCGCACAGCGCCAGGCCGCTGGTCCAGGAGCGGGTGAAGTCCGTCACTGCGACGCCGCGGTAACCCGCCGTGTGGGTCTGGCACCAGCTCAGGAGCTCCTCGTAGGCCCGGCCGACCTCTGGAGAGGAGAGAGCGCAACAGGCCTAAGGGCGTTGGTCTGGGACCGAGGGGACAGGGCTGGGGATAGGGCACTTCCTGGGACGGCAGCACAGGGCGTGTGGCTCGTGGAGAGGGCGAGGAGACTGGCTCCTAGTTCCTGAGGCGACAGCTCCCCCAGCCCATCCTGGGATAGAATCACAGAATACTAGGACTGGCAGGGACCTCGAAAGGTCATCGAGTCCAGTCCCCTGCCCTCACGGCAGGACCAAATACTGACTAGACCATCCCTGTGTCGATCTGGAGTTTCTCACGTTAAGCTGACCTTCTGGATGGGGCATAGATCCT